ATACAGAATGAAGTTTGAGGGCAATGTTCACCTGATTTTGTTTGGGCAAACTTTCTTTTAAAAAGTGGAGCATCGGCGAAAAGCAATAAGCTTACGTACCCAGCATAGTGTCTCTGCGTAAGGAACGAGAATCAAGGAGATGTCATCATCTGCCGGACTATCGTAGAGCCCAACGGAAGCTTTTCGAAGGAAGACATGCGCAGTGTTCAAATGGCCGACAAAGATTTAAACGCTATATTAAAGGCCTTAGAAAAGAAACAGCGTCCTACGTGGGCAGAGATTTCAAGAGAAAGTCCGATTACGAAGGCGTATTGGGCTCAGTGGCAAAGCCTCATCATCGAAGATGGATACTTGTGGCGCATACGGCATAGTGAGGATGCTTCATGGGCTAAGAAATTACTGGTGGTCCCACAAGCAAGAACTCGTGAAATTATAAGGGAATACCACAATGGACCAAGCAGAGAGCATCTTGGCATCACAAAAACCGTGGCGAAGATCAAAGAAAATTTCTAATGGGTAGACATCAAGGATTCCGTAGCTGCATGGATTCGCAACTGCGATCAATGCAGCGAATCAAGAGGCCCGAAGAGTAAGTCGCGAGGGCGCTTGCAGCAGTATAACGTGGGTGCACCGTTCGAAAGAATCGCAACGGATATTGCTGGACCATTTCCAGCCAGCAATGCAGGAAATAAGTACGTACTGATAGTCATTGATTACTTCAGTAAATGGTCAGAAGTATACCCCATAGCTAACCAAGAAGCAAAGACAATAGCCAAAGTATTCGTCAATAATTGGGTTTGGAACCCACATCGAGCTGCATTCGTCAATAATTGGGTTTGGAACCCCCATCGAGCTGCATTCAGACCAAGGTAGGAACTTTGAATCTTCGATCTTTCAAGAGGTTTGCGAAATATTTGACATTAATAAAACTAGAACGACTCCGTTGTATCCTCAGTCTGACGGAATGGTCGAAAGGTTTAATCGAACGCTCCAAGAACATCTGAGAAATGTGATCGACGATAATCAGCAGGACTGGGATGAACACATACCAATCTTTTTGATGGCATATAGGTCAGCAGTGCACAACACCACTGTTCTACCCCCGGCGCAAATTTTGTTCCCGGAGCAGAACTAGATTCAAAGTGGTACACCTGGACCCACTGACCGTATATCGAAACGACTTTGTTCGGGACAAAGAGAACAGAAACCAAATGTACATTCGCGAGGCGTCATGCAGCTGCGGACCGATGAAAGTGATTAGTGGAAAAGCAGACTGGTATAAAAATAATTTCAACAATGAGATCAGTTAGCGATGCACTATATTTCATCAACGCAGCGATATCTCGACCTCGATATCTTCTTCTAATATACGGCAACCCCGACTTATTGCGACTAGATCCTCATTGGCGCGAGATTATCGAGTACTGCGTCAATAATGATGCCTACTTCAATGTGCAGGTTTTGACGCTTTAATATAAAAAGCCAAAATCTTTTTGAAATCATCTGAAATGTTTTTTTAGGAAATGTTTCAAAAGATGTTGGTTACACCTAAAAATTTAAAAATGCGTAAACATTCATAACTGAAAACCGAACAAGCCCAAAAGCAACAAATTGTGAAAAGCTCTAAGGTATAGCGAAATAAATCAAATAGCTTCTCTCTCTCTTGTGAATAAAATTTTATAAATTGATTACCTAGCTTTCAGGCCATCGGCTCGCCCAAAGTAACAGTTGTGTGGTTCATATACATATGTGCTATATGTAAATAGAACAAAGGTGTGAATATTATTTGTATTAATTTTTTTTAATTTGTTTTAATTATGTGGAAACGTATAGGTGTTAGAAATTATACTAAATTTGGGATTACGAGTGACATCAAGGTTTTGGTTTTCAACAAGACTTCCTTTGAGGAAGGAGGTGGTATTCGAAACCAAAGTACACAACCATGTTTCTGATATAAATTCAGTAACCTGCGTTTATCTAGCGAAATATTGGCGCAATCCGCCAAAATATCAACGGTATTTGTAAAAATTTCGGGAACTTAATTGATATCATTAATGTTTGTGAAAATAAAAACGCTATCTGCGTAAATGCAATGACCAACTTTGTCGTAATTAGATATTATCTGGCTAACTTCATCAAAGGCGATTCTGAATATAATATAAATAAATGTCGGAGATTACACGGTTGATTTTGGCAACGAAAAACCAACAAGAAGTTTTTTACAAAGCTTTAAATTGAATGTCCTACTTTCCAATTTGAAAGTTTTTCCAATACGATATAGGTTCCACGAACGTGAACTTTTCATAACATATTCTCTTAGAGATCTTGCATTTTAATTTGAAAATAGAGTTGGGCCTTTTATAAACTAGCGTATTACCAATTGACATGTCTCTTCGAAAATTAGCCCATGCTGCTTAGATTTTGGGTGAAGTGAAAGTTCACAGCTCCACCATGGAACATACTTGTGGTGGTTTTTGTCTTTATATTGAGCGAGAACATAGTGTGCTACACTAAAAGTAATTTTTAGTATTCTAGTCGCCTCACAGTTTGTGGCCTGATAAAATCCATATATGTTATCATCTACAGTGATGAGTATATTAATGCCAATCATCTTTGTTACTTAAAAAGGAATAAGACATTAGAGCTACCTTGGGGCGTGCCGAAATTAATAATGACGGGGAAACGATCACTTCCATATAGATTTTTTAATATTGACCGCTGCGTTTTTGTAATGATATTAGCCGAACGTAATCTATGTGAGTAAAAGTTCGTCTAGTGGAGAAGCGAGTTGGAGAGCCGTCATTTAACAATGTCATGTTTGAACACAGTAGAAAATTTTCGATAGTTTTACCTCGCGAGTTTGCAATAGCAAGGAGTCAAAATTACCTAATAATATTACACGTACAAAAATGAGGTGAAATCACTTAGTGAAAAAGTTTGGTTTGGCGGAATATATGTGCAAAGGATGCTATGTTATGATTGCTGACATTTTTTGTATTGTTGAATGTAGAGATGGATAAGATGAGTAATGGGAAGAAGATTTGTCTACGATTGATATGGTGAATTTGCTTTTTACTGATGGTGTTGTAGGCGAAGTTTATGCTAGTATGGATGGCAGGGATGAAGATCATGACGTTTTCGACATTAAAAGTGATAATAATAGTCATAGTATTACCATAACTTTTTGTGTGGTGTCATTACTTGGAGGAGGCGTGTGATGACTGTTTCTTGACGCAATGGTAAGACAAGTTCCCAGAGCTTGATTTGGAAGCGAAAATTGTCTTTTATAGATGGCGACCGCTTCTTTCATAGAATATTTATTTTTAATTTTTCTTGTTAAAATTTCCTTGGCTTCTTGGTACTTACTTTCGCTTATTCTTTAAAGTGCCCATAGATTATACAAATACATGTTCAAGTATTGAGAAGTGTAAACAAACATATACGCTTATTCCCTAAAGTGCCCAATTTTTATACAAATTATTGAGAACACATACTTCTGCTGTTGCTGATTGCTACTGCCATTGATGGTCGATCTGCGTACCACTGCTATTGCATAACGTTACGCATCTAATAATTCACAGGGAAATACGATGGGTGTACTGTTTGAATTTTGCAACGCCCAAAGAACGCTACAGCTGAATTTTCACGAAACTCCAACGCAAAGATAAATAAAACGTTTTCTGACCACGCTGCTTGCTTTTATACCGTTTTAGCTTTCGAAAATGGTCAATTTGCATTTTTTAAACCTTTTAGAATCCTTAAGAGAAACAAATTCAACTATTGCTTAGCAATCTCTTGCGCCCATAGATTATACTTGTCATTGTGGAGTTATCGTGATGGTGATAAGGTAATCGTACACGGTGTAGTGATGGACGCCAAAGGCGGTTATTTTTAAATTTGGATGCATTCGTAGCGGTAAGTTTATTGAGGTTGAATTATTATTTAAAGTGGACATTGTACTGCTTACTGGAGCCAAAGGATAATTCGACAGATTTTGAAAATTCTTATTACAAATCGTAGTTAACACAGTTGAACTTGAAGAATGAAGTGGATTTTTCATCAACAAAGCTGGTGAACTTAAGGAACTTTGCATGGGCAAATTCGAAACATTTTTTTAGAATTTTGCATTGGCATAGTAGAGGAATGCAAATGATTTCGCATGGGCAAAGTTGAGGAATTTAATGTATTTTGCATAGGTTATAACTTTAGTGCAAAAATTGTAATAAAAAAAATGTAAAATACAAAAGCATGGACAAAATGGAATGACTTATCTTTTTTGAATTGTTAACATAGTCTTTTTTAGTATATTTGTACTTATTTGTTCACTATTTTTTTACTTTCTTCGTATTTTAATAGTATCAAATAGTGGAAGTTACGTTCTTATAAACGGCCATTATTATGTATGGCAATCGCGGGCAGATTTGCTAAATTCTGAAGTTGGTTAAGATTGGTTGACTTTTATTTAAATAAGGGTTGTACACGTATTATTTAAAAATTGGCGAAAACTGGAGCGTAAGAGAATTCATTTCACAAATAACTTTGTTTCTCGCAACACATTTTTTCAAATATATTTGCAATTTATCAGTTATGCATTATTCAAGATGTAAGCCCGCATTACTTCGTGAGATAGGCTTTAATGTCAGAGTTGTTTGCAAGAACCTAAATGATGTCTATCATTTATTCTCATTAACGGACTCCATTAAAGCAACATTGCTTAATAAGCGCGATTTACCTATGTCGTACTTAAACTGACTTAACCTTAAATATGTCATTATGAGTCGAAAATTAATTTGTTGTTAACAATTATCGGTTGCCAAGCTTATGCATGTTTGTGATGGCTTAGTGGTTCACTTGCAATTTGGTCCTGTATCGGTTGTGGGTGTGGCTCTATGCTAATTGTGTACATGCTTTTTTTTTTTTTTCTTTTTCTTTTTTTTTCCTCCTTATTTGTTTTATTGTACTTATACTAAGTTTTATTAATAATTAATTTTAAGATTTACTTAAGCGTCAATTGAACTCGACTGCCATTTGTTTTAGTTGAGTTTCTTGTATAAGTGGAATAAATAGATAAATAAGCCGGAATTTTGCTTCCAAAGCCCACAATAAATTTGTATTCGACAACTAAATATATAGGTTTCTGCAGATCATGTAGACGTCTCTATAAACCACAATAAAATCAGAAAACTGCGTATTTTTTAGAAGAAGAAAACATGTATATCTAAAATATATACACAGCAAATACATTACATTATTTATGCATTACTGGTCATCGCTCTCGCCTCCCTGACAGTACTATACTGAATATATCCTTAGAACATCTTCCACAACATTTAAGAATCACATATTTTTTTTCGCAGAGGACGACTGGCTATCATATAAACGGGATAGAGACCTTTCGGAAAATTTTTTTGCTGAGTCATTTTCACGATGCGGAATCCAGCCTGTTTCAAACATGTTTCGTACATTTTTAACGGTCTAGCAACTGACGAGTCTTCATCATCTTTTTCGACTTGTCGCGAACTTGTTATATTCTCTTTAATCACAAAGTGACCACCAGCAATTAAACTCTGGCGAATGCGTACGAAAAGTAGTAGGAGATCTACATCAGTGAGATGTCCTAATACCCATTGAGACCAAACTAGGTTATATTTATTAACATCGGGCCGGAAATCTTGGAGGCCAATGTTGTATATTTCACCCAAACGATTTGGATAGCCAAGAACAGCGCCAGAGTCTTTGACACAATATTCGTGAGCTTTTGCAGCAAAGGCCTGATCTTGTTCAACAAGATCAACTTTGGCAAATAACGGCATAAGCAGATTTTTTGAAACTCTGCCTATACCAGCACCGCAATCTAGCGCACAAGTTTTACTCGCATCTTTAATCTTTAGTTCGCGTAAAAAACAATTCGAACCTTGAATATCTAAAGCGTTGATATAGCCTAGCCCTCCAAGCATCCCATTCACAGTAGGTGGAATTTTTGCCCAATACTTTTGTGCATTTAAATAGAATTCGGAGTTACTGCTTTGAGAAACCACATAATTTTCTTCCTTTTCCAATGATTTCTCTTCTAAATTATCTTTAATATCCTCCCTTTTCAATGATTTTTTTTCTAGATTATCTTTAATAATATCCTCCATTGTACAAATGACTTAAAAATAGAAAAATTTTTTAATGCAATACTTTATTTATTTCATAATGTCTTTTTTTATACTACATGTGAATTCATGTTTTATGGTATTGCCAGCTTCTTGTTTCTAGAAACGGTTGCCACTATTAGTTTGTAAGTGATAATATCCTGTAATATATTACAAATATAGATGTCAACACAGTGATGCGTTATTCCGCTTTTCCCGTTAATAAGTCCCAAGTGATTAACACAATGCGAAGCCGCGTTACCATATTATTTCATAAGAAAGAAGAAACAAAACGGCATAGATATAAATAAAAGCATACAATTTGACAAATAAAATTAAAGCAATCAATATGAACGTAAAGAAGAATATACGAAATGCAACGATAAGAAAATTAATATAAAAGCATAATAAATTCTTGATTAGTTATTGAAATATATCTATTTTTTTGGTTTGTAAGTTGAAACATGGAAAAGAACAACACAATCATAGGCTTTGTTGATGTCTAAAGCAAACTTTACGACTTTCTGACCTTCCGCTTGAAGGCAACCTCTTTTAAGCACATGTTAGTAAATATGTGCTGGGTATGCACAATAATACCTAGCGGGAAAATGAAATAACAAAAAGTAACTTGAAAAGAACGAATGTGGAAGTGGACTTCTCTGACGAAACAAAAAAAAGCAAACGAATTGTTGAATTGTTTTGTTTTGCAAATATATTTAAAATTTGAAACAAACTGTCTCTATTACTTGTTTTTCATTCCTTATAAAACTGAACTGTAAACTAATATTTTAAATTGTATAACATAAAAAATAAATTAAGATTAGTACAAAATAATCAAAGAAGTACGTAAATAATTGCTAAATTTAAAACAAATTATCTTTATTTCTTGTTGTGCGGTTATTTCTTCTTTTCTATGTAAAAACATGTTTTGCAAATTTTCACCAAGGCTGGTAATAAGTCGGCGGAGTAGAACTCCCATCAAGAAAACAGGAATAACGTATAATTGTGTTATCGCATAGTCATTCGTAACCGATATATACAAATTGGTCATTGCGTCTCAGATTATTTTCAGTTTATAAACAAACATTTGGTTTAACGGGAGGGCTGAGGGAATGAAGTGTCATTTTCCTTTTTGGCTTAAAAATTTTCAAGTGGTAAACACAATGAACACCCGCGCTACCCTATTGTTTGACAAAAATTTGTGAACAATAACAATATTGTTAATCTTCACAATCTGCTTAAATTTTATGACATCACAAAGAGTCTTTTTGTGTAGCAATTGAAACGTAATTTGAAAATTGCCATCAACTTTAAAATAAATGCTTTTCATTACTTGTTTTTCATTTCTTACAAAATAATGCGTGGTCTAAAGTAAAATTGCAAATCACAAATGCACAACAGCGTAGGAGAAAAATAAATTAAATAAAACTTAAAAGAAACGATTATCATTTCTTCTTGTGCTATTCTTTGGCTAATTTGTATGCAAAACCGTATGATTTGTCAATTCCCCAAAAGTTTGGAGAAAACTCGGAATAAAGTCTCATTGTGCCAACGCCGTTACCCTTCTAATGATAAATTCATACTTTATTATATACGAGGGACTGCGCAAATAATAATAGAGCTTAGGAATTTTCAATTCATACGGTTTGTAATCTATATTATTTTATAGTAATAAGAAAGGGGGTCGGTTTTTTAGTTTCACTTCTCAAATCATATGCTTTTATTTATATATACATCCATTTCCTTATTTTTTATTGTCAAATAATGTGGTAACACGACTTCCCATTATGTTACCACTTTGTAGTTATTAACCCGAAAAATGAAATACACATCATTCTGTCTCTCCCTATTTTTTCGTCATATATATAAAGAATTATAAAAAGCGTTATTTTTTATTGAAATATATTCCCAACAGTTCGTACAATTTTTGTAAATTGTATGTAATAATTTCAAGTACTTATCGATAAATTAAATTTCATTAAACTTAGCAACACTGCATAGAAATTGTGTAAAAACGCCTTTTTCAGAAATTCAGCTCAGTTTTACTTTTCATCGGTCGCCATCTTGAAGTTCATTATAATTGTGGAAGCATCGTTTTTATACTAACGCGAATCATATTTAGTAATAAATACAAACATTTCTTTTAATCATATTAAAATACATTTACATTAGTGTTAAAGATTGCAATTATAAGAAAACCTTCAGAGATAAGGTATGTAAATATGAGATAACGGTGAAAATTATGTTGGTGAAAAAAGTGTATGTGATTGTGTATATATAAGCTACGGCTGGCAAAAACCTTGCTGACGTCTTTTTCGTATATTTATGACAAAAGTAACCTAAAAAATATGTGCATACATAAATAAGTGATCTATATGTTATTGGTAAACGACAATAGCATCTCCTTTACATGTGCAAATATATCAATTAAAATAATCAACTTCCCAGGAATCCATTACGGAATGGGGGGTTTTTGTTATATTTAGGAAAGCTTCGTGTTTTTTGCTGTCATATTTTATGACATGTATGCATACATACAGAAAAAAAATCATATATTGAAAAACTTGTTTAGTTTTTATAAAATAGTGTTTTATTTATTTATCAAGTCTGTGAACAAATTCTTATAAAATTGAAAATTTTCAATATTTACAGAATAGAGAAACAACAAAAAAAAGTGAAAATTGCCAATTATGGAGATGGCCGCAAGAACGCAAGGAGAAAATGAAGAACACGTAGCAAAAGAATACCTCTCGAGTCTATCGGATTTGAATTGTAATAGCAAACCACACATTAACATGCTAACTATGCTGGCAGAGGAAAACATCGAATACGCCGCAATTATCGTCAAAGTGGTAGAGCAGCACATTGCCAAGGTTAAAAAATTTGCTTGTATTATTAAGAGAATAACAAAGAATTTGTTGAACCAAAAATATCGTGATTTCGGGTGAATACAGTGACAAAAAAGAAAGTGATGAGTTATTTAAAATAAAAAAAGAAGACAAAAAAAAGTGGAATCGGTTCCTGGATAAACAAGTTCTTATATGCGAGTACATCTAATTACTTGCTTATATTTGTGTTAAGGAGGGGATTCTGTCCCAAAGAAACACAAAGACTTGGTGCTTTGCTCCTTAAAATAAAAAGAAATAAATTGCATATTTGATAATTGTAGTGAACTGCTGTTTTTTTATTTGTCCTCAACAAAACAAAAAAAATTGCTACGCAAAGAACAGTTCACTTTTTGATTCTATACAAAAACAGCTGTTTATCGAAACGTTTGAGAATTAAAGAGATTTGGCTTCTTGTTAGCGTATTAATTTTCTGAAGAAAATTTTTTTTTGTTAATTTTTGTTATAATTTCAATTATTATACCGCTTTGCGTCTTTTTGAAAATTATTGGCTTAGCTTAGAATTTCACTTTGACATCACTGTTAATATTAAGTTTCGGCAAATGTGAGTTGATAGTCTTTGCATAATTATCAGCTTGAACTGGTTTGTACTAATATCCCTAGGATGCAGTGTTAGTATATTAAAAGTGAACTGTTAGTCAACATATAGAAGATAAATTCGATACATTTTAAATTGAATTTCATTTGATTGTGAGAAACAATTTGAAATGCTCTTCTAAATCGGTAAAATTGCTTTTGTTAGTCTCCTAATTTGTACCGTGTGTCCATATATTTGCAAACAGGTTCCACCCGATTTTAAATTGCCTATATTGTATTTAATCGATTCTATTGTAAAAAATGTCAAGAGCACCTATGTGCAGCGCTTCAGCCAATGCATTGTCAATATATTTTGCGATGTGTTCGAGAAGGTAAGTATCGAATAAAAATGAATTCTTTTGTAAATCGACGCTAAATGAATTTAATTTTTTGTTTTTTGGAAACAATTAGGTCAACGAGGAGATTAGGCAACGTATGTACGCGTTGCGCCAAACCTGGAATGAAGTTTTCTCATCTCAGAAACTTTACGCCTTAGATCTAAGAGTTAAGCGTTTAGATAATAATTGGCCAATAACTGCAAGACCGCCCTCAATTCATGTTAATCCAGATTTTTTGAAAACGGTAAGTTTGATTTAATCTTATATTAAATCTTAATGAAAAAGGATTTGCGTTCTAATTGTCGACAAAAGGTTAGCGCCTCTCAGGCCATACCAACAGAAGTAGAAGAGATTTTACAGCATAAAACCCGTGAATTATTGGAACTAAAAAAACGTAAGCTTGAACTTGAGCTTGAGGCTACCAAAAAACACTTAGAAGAACAAGAAAAACAGCTTTCAAAAGCTGCTGAGGGGGTCGTACCGCCCGTGGAAGCATTGGTAGCTGCTAACGCTCTTCAAACAAGTATACGAGCAGCTGCCATGCCTCCGCAAATGATGCCTAACATGATGGCTCCTGCTTTTATGGCGCCCCCGGGCCATCCCGGCCCAATAGGTCCGGGAATCAACAATATGCGGCCGGTTTTTCCTAATATGCGTGGGTTCAGGCCCCATTTACATCCGAGCATGATGAGTATACATCCTCAGGTATATATAACATTGTGAATCATAAAAAAATTTTTATTTTTCAATTGAGGATTTCGATTTCACAGCCTTTTCCTCCATCCAATATTAATGCGACCAACCCTAACGGTAATAATAACGCCAGTGGTATGGCTAATAAACCAAAAGTTCATCCCGTAAACTCGGCGTTGCTAAATGTAATTCGCCATCGTGATCCTCGATTGGCACGACAACAACAGCAACAGCAGCAGCAACAACAACAACAACAACAACAGCTTCAACAAAGGCATGGCACAGAAGCAAATAAAACAACCTCAGAACCTTCAAAATCATCTGAATCATTAAGAAATGATCGCAGCAGTAAAAATATCCGTAAATCCCCATCGAGAAGTTCTGCTTCCGGAAGCAGTACCCGTTCGGTGGGTCGTTCAAACAAAAGCTCTAGTCGAGATAAGGAAAAGGATCGAAAGCGTAGCGAATCGAAAAGTTCAACGACATCTTCTTCATCATCTGGATCAAATGCTTCAGCGGAACGGAAAAAATCATTCTCATCGGGTAAAGGTAGCAAAAAGTCTGGATCTTCGCCGACTTGTGATAAAGATGCTTTTGAAATAGCACCTTTGTCCACAGCATTTAAACGTAAATCGTCTTCGCCAAACAATTCTCCTGCCAAGGCTCGTGATCCCAAACGTTTTACTAGTCATAAAACATATTCACGTAGCAAAACGCGATCTCGTAGTCCTTCACCCCGCAAAGATATGTTTAATGACGTCGATTTGCGGAGAGTTTCAACATCATCATGCTCATCGACGACATCGCCAGAAAAACGAGCTAAAACTTCGGAAGAAATCAATGGCAACGAAATTTTGACGCAGGTGTCGGCAAAAGGTCTAGAGAAAAGTAAGAAATGTCTCCTCCACTTAAATAGCATTTTACAGAAAACAGTATTTAGTAAAAACAAATCAGAGATTTTCACAATAATATGGTCCAAATGCGCTTTAGCCGGATAGATTAAACCAATCGATGGTGGTGGTTGTGGTGTTGAATGCTGGTGGTTGTGGTTATGGTAGTAATATAGTAGTGGCGACGACAATTAGTTTTTGGTAAAAAAAAAATATTCATATCTATATAATTTCTTCGTTCAGCTGTATGCAGACGTTTTCGAAAATATTTCTTAAGTACCTTTTGTTGTTTTAATTTGCTAATGATGTAGCTTAGTTTTAATGTGTTTAAAACTAAATTTTGTACAAAATAAACTGTTCTAAAACTTTTTCCAGTTTGTTGTTTTAATTATCTTCTATTCTATTTGAATTTTAATCTCTATCGATATCCGTCTAAGAGAACTCATCGTTGAAATTTTAATCGAAGTATATTTGCCCACCCCACCATCGACTTGGCTATTCTAGCTAAAAAGCTATTGGTAGCCTTATTCAAGTAAATTGACTATGATAAGAAAAAAACTTGTGGAAAAAAGTTTGAAAAAAAAAAGAAAAAGAGAATGTTAAGTTTTAAAGAGGAATTCTTATTAAGTCAATAAAAAAAAAAAAAAAATTAAACAAAATTTTTAGCATAATAAATTAATTAATGAGTTTAGTAAACATAAAATTAAGCAGTAATTACTTACTTCTACCATAACAAACTTTCATATTAAAAAATGTACATTTTAGAACCTTAACTTATAGTTTACTACATACATAAATTTACATATATATACATATATTTTTTATTTATGGTGATGATGACAACTTTCAATTTAAGTTGATCTCGCTTGTAAAGCACTTTTTATTTCTGTTCCTTAAATTTTGCTCGCTTTTTCTTTACTTGGTTTTTTTTTTTTTGAATTCGTTTCTATTATTAATTTTTTCTTATGTGCCACAAAAAACCACAAAAAAAAAACAAAATCTGTCAATATAAACGAAACCCAATTTTAGATATTAAACCATTAATAGAGTCACCCATAATTGGGACTGCAAGAGCGATGGATGTGGATTTGAGGCCACAATTGGTGGTACCTCCAATAAAGGCATCTGTCTTAAGAGCCAATTCCTCCCCCTCAAGTTTATCGTCTTCAGACTTAAGTCATAAATTGTCGGGAACATCAGTTTCAAGGGCCAGCATCATTATAGATCTAACTTGTAATACAAGTTGTGCAAGTGCAAACACTAAAGCGACATCATCACCCAACAAAGTCTCATTTAAAATTGAGAAACACGTTAATAAATTAGAAAAATCTTCAGAAAATTTAACAGTTACATCAACTTCAAATAAATTGGTTACATCGTTGACATCGTCATCATCGTTACCTGAGGTCACCTCGAACATCGAACAAAGTCACTTAGATATGAATGCCAAGTACGCTTGTGATGGCCCTATAATATCTGGCGGTCAAGTAAGTAAAGACCTAGAAGACGAAGACAAGAAAAAACGACCATCAGTCGCTGCAAACGAAGAAGAACCTCTCTCTAAAAAGAGCAAGTCCACCAAGCTGGACCCGTGAGTTTCAAATTCGTTCAGATTAGTAATTGAAAATCAATATTTTGACTAATTCGAAAATTTTCAGTCTCTTTGGCTCCGAAGACGTTGACCTACGCCAGCTAATGCCAGCCATTCAGCCAAGTTGCAGTGAGGAAACGGCGCCGCCACCCCCTTCCATGAAGCTTAACGATGCTCTAAGTTGTAATGAAAACTGGGACATATTTAAGGTTTTTATAAAGAAAAAATAGCCACTAAAAATATTTAATCATATTTTAACGCTGCAGGGTGAGGCTTCCAAAATTTCGCCAAAAAAATCCTCGACTCTGGATGATGTTCGAGCCAAATTAGCTAAAACGGCGAAATTGAGTAAACTTTCGAAAACTGGTATGCATTTCTTGCTGTAGCTATCTTTCTAGATTTTCTTCTGACTTTTCTTACGGTTTGCAGAGAAAAACAATAAGGAATTATCACATCGTTTGCGTTTGGCGGAATTGCAGAATATGAATGAAGACACTCAAGAGGCCAATGATGAGAAGATACGTACTATGGTCGTCCAAGCTCAAGAGCTTTTGGAAGCCAAATCAATTACTCAAGAGCAATACAATAACCTTATGAAAACAGTCATGTCGATTAACGAAGTGAATAAATTGAAAATCGCTAAGCGTCGAGAATCGCTTAATGCCATCAAGCAAAAACTAACCGAAGAAGATACAAATGAAGCTGAACGTAACGCTGCACGTGAGGCGGTACTTAAGAAACGCATACCTAAAATAAATAAGGGGCAAGTACCAACCAACGACCAAGGAAATTCTCTATCACCTCGCAGTGAAAGCGTTAGCGGTAGTAATGCTGAAAATTCCCCACATCGCGAAGAAAAGAGCGAATCAAATGACGAGCATATGCCACGCGCAAGGCTAATGCGTGACAAACGGGTATCAAAAGTGTCTAAATGGGGAGATCGTGTTGTTGATCCAAATATGGGTAATATGATGCCTTCAGGGCCTCCGCCGCGACCATGGGCTTTGGGTCCACAAAATAAACGCTGCTTCCGTGGTATTGGGCCTCATCCGTCAATGGCGATTAATATGCGCAACCAATGGCCAATCAATAATATTAACAACGGACCCATACCACCATTTGTAAACGGACCTATGCTACCGCCAATGCGTGGCCTTCTTGCCTCTTCCATGCCTCAATTGGAATTACAGCAGCCACCAATTATTCCTAAGCCTTGCAATTCAATCGATAATCCCCAGGAGGATCTTGTTCGCACTATAACCATCGATGGTGTTGCCAAAGAAATACGTTTCTACGACCAGGTTGCGATTGTTTTCATGGAGGTAGATCAGCCCCGCGAAATTGGTTTCCAGAATGGGCAACGCACTATATTCATCGATAATCATGAACCTCTTATGCTGCAATTTAACGAAGACTATAAATCGGTAACTATTGATGGTGAAGTTTTACGCCTGCGTTTTGGTTTTCCATCACGTGAATTATATATTGACGAACACTGGTATGAAATATACTTTGGGGGCCCACCGATTACTGTACCAATTAAAAATAAACTGCGAATGTTGAAAGCGGAAGGTCCTCCACCCCAAGTTAACATTGGCCCATTAAGGCGTGATCTAGTTGTGGGCAAAATTAATATGATTGTGGACGCTCATAATGTCATACCGTTATTCTTGGACGCTCGTGCACAAATATTCAGATTGGGAGACAAAGATCACACCATACAATTCGCTGATAATTTGTTAACAGTTCTCCTTGATGGTATGCCTACGAGGGTTGAATACGGCGGACTTCCAAAAAGTCTGTTTCTTGGGGGTAAAAAATATTTTGTTCGTTTTGGCGCTTTGCCGCAGGGTATAGTAGCGGGAAAAGTCCAAATTAAGGATATGATCTACGTGGAAGCACAACCTCCAACGCAACCGTCGACTGAAAAGGAAACGTTTATAAATGCGACAGGCTCAGAAGAAGTACCAAAGGGTTCGCAAATAGAATCCGTAAAAGAATCTGAGACAGTGCCACCGGGAGCAGCATCATCGTCGACAGCAGTCGTGCCTACATCTGCTTTAACCAATGTTAACATAGATGAATTATTTCAAAAGCTCGTTTCAACTGGTATATTGGGTGGTTCAAGCGGCATCTTACCAGCTGTTAATAAAATACCCGCCGAAGGTGCCGTTCAATCAGAAGGAACTGAATCAACGGAAGCCGCAATGGAAGAGCTTATTAAACCCATCGATTTATCCAAAGCAGAATCAGTAAAGACACGGCAGGCTGCAGTTGTAGCTACGCTTTTTTCGGGTATGCAATGCTGTAGTTGTGGTGTAAGATTTCCACCCGAACAAACTATTAAATACAGCCAACATTTGGATTGGCACTTTCGGCAAAACAGGCGTGAGCGCGACTCTTTGCGGAAAGCTAACTCACGTAAATGGTATTACAATCTTAGCGAGTGGATAAAGTATGAGGAAATTGAAGATCTCGAGGAACGTGAAAAGAACTTTTTTGAGACACAGCAGAATGATGTCGAGACAATCGATGAAACATCAAATCAACGTTCGACGAATTCTCCTGTACCCAGTTGCCGGGCTGATCGGGGCGATGTTGATCGCGCATGTGATGCGTGTCTCGAGAAGTTTGAACAATTTTACGACGAAGATGCTGACGAATGGTACCTGCGTCGTGCTTTGAGAATCGAAGATAAAATCTATCATTCGTTTTGTTATAAAGACAATAAAAAGGTATACAGACTACTGCTTTGAATGTTAGACAATATCGATGGTATGTTAAATATAGTTTTTCGTTTCTCCTTTCCAGACTCCCACTAATCCTCCAAAAACTATCGAGGTAGAAGAAAACCTTAACAATGACGCTTCTGATCAAACGCTCATTCATATTGATGACGACAATGCTGTCGACATCGAAATAAAATCCGAAACAGGTAAGAATAAAAACAAAAAAAACAAAAAAAAGACGAAAACGGTAGCGAATAGCATATCCCGCATATATAAACTTATTGATCGCTTTTTTTTAACAAAGAATTCATCCCAACCACAAACGTAGTAGTATAGTCGACGAGTGTGCTTTCAGCAAATACCTAAGTTGCGATATTTTTTTTCCTACTTTGGGATCTGATTGGGATAAATTTACAAATATTAAATAGAATTAATTAATTATATTTCAACACGAATGCATATAGAACGTCCTAGCGTTACTGACGCGCCTGGTGATGAAGAAGACGACGATGTGATTGTGCTGCCAAATGAAGAGCCTTCCGTTACCGAAATCGACGATGACGATGATGAATATGTTCCAACCAACGTAACTCGTGAAGAAATGGGCACATCGGTAGAAGATGATACACCTATCACCCTTAATGAAACTAATGAATCAGATGTCGAAATACAGGAACCTAATATACCGTTCACGGATTTAGACACATATGAGGAAAAAGATCTTATCACTGGAGAGGAAAGCTCTCAAATGTCATATAAGAATGTGAAGATTAAAGAAGAGCCTAAAGAAGACGAGGATGAAGATGATGGTTTCGAGGACGTTGGTACTGTAATGATTGCACCGGATGAGATCTCAATTCAGAGTAGCGGTAAGCAATAAAGCAAAAAATATCGACGTCGAGCTCTATCATAATGTTATAAATGTTTATTTTGTGCAGAAGAGACGCAGACACCAACTTTAGACTCAACAACGGTGGAAAAGGCCACTGTTCCGGCCAGTCCTCCCTCGTCAGCATCAACTTGCCCAAATGAAGAAAAGGATGCAGTAAAGGAAGTGCTAACGGCGGATTTAAATATATCCATGGACGGTAACTTAGAGACCGGTAACGAACATAATTTGTCCGCTGCTGGTCCTGCTCCTACCGTGCCCTTGGTTAGCTTAGTTAATAAGATTAAAATAAATATTACTAAGAACACTATATCAACAAATAGCACTAGTACTAGTAATAATGCAACATCAACGTCTACAAACACAACTGCAACCAACAATCCAAACTCCAATCTTGTTAGTTTGAATGAAAAGACGAAAGTAACTTTAGGTCAGCAAGCAATATCGTCTAATCCTATACCGACAATATCGACGATACCGGTCTTATGCAGTGGAGGAACCACCATTCCCAGCATCATGTCAAGTGGCTTTGAAGAAGATATTGCGAACTCAAATCATAGTGTAAGTACAATATCGGTAATTGGCACCAGTTACGGCATCAGCAATCAGTCAACGTGTTCTCTAACGAAAACCGATCATCCTCCACTGCAACCCGCACCGCGTCCGATTGAGGAGACGATTACCTACGAATTAAAGCCTGCGCTGCAAAAGGTTACTTTTAAAAAGAAAGAAAAAATAGTGTGTGGCAGTGAGACCTCCGGTCTTTGTTCCATTATGTAAATATGACATTTTTCTTCTTAGGGACGTCGGGGAGGGGGGCCTTTTTTAATAATATGTACATTTAGAAAGATTTAGAGAGAGAGAGATCATGTATAGCTTGAGAAATATTTGGCTCATTCTAGAATCGTTGATTAGTTTTTAGTATCTTCGTTTTTTAATTAAGTTTACATATATTTCTAAGGTCACGTCACGCGTTCGTTCATCCGTTCGACTGTGATACGTTACAAAAATCTGCGTTTAATTTATTATTTAACTTTATTAAAGAAGGAAACTGACGAGTGATGTATCTCGTCCCCATTGAGACTTTCCTTAATTATCGTCGTTTCTTTTACTTGATACACTTATCATCACATGAATTCCAAGTTCTTTTCTCTTTCTTTCTCTTGTTTGGAAATTTTAACGCTAAATAAAGAAACATAAAAAGGAAAATATTATGTGTATTTGTATATCTAATAATCTTTATATTTACATGAAAGTTAAATAAACATAAGGATTTTCAATCTAATAAAAAAATCAATAAAAAATAAAAAATGAATATTCTTACAGATAAAAAAACATTTGATTATGTTTTTGTGTGTATGTCTCTTAATTTCTTAATTTCCAAACCATTTCTAATAAAAGAAGAATTCTACGAATTAAGAAACGCTTGCATTTCTATCTATCTATATGTCTGTCGGATGACAATTTAGAGCGAATCTTGAACTCGAAATATATCGCCGGCTTATACTCATTATTATGCCCCAGTAGAGCCAAAACGGCTTCACAAACGAAAGGTAAAGACGACAAGCTAGTGTGGGGCATTCGGTTAGTCGGATCACCAAGATTTAAGAGAATCACCTTAACACATACATACTTTGCAAGCTCTGCCAGCTTAGCGATCTTCTGCTCTAAAAGTAATGCTAGCGTTCGCACTTACCACTCAGCAAGCCAATCAAATTTCGAGTTTAGATGATTTCTCCCGCATGCGAATAAAAAAAATTTAGTATTCTTTGTCACTACGTTTGAATATTTAACAAGTTGACGTCAATGACGCCTATGAGCCAACACTTTTGCGTGCGTGCGTGTTCGTGTAGATGCACATGATGTCTGTAGCCGTCCTACATAATCGTGCTATTATTAAATAAAAAAAAAAAAATAATGTGTGTTTTTGGTTTCGAAATGAGCGTAAACGTGTGCAAGCCCCATTAATAGAATGATACTATTCTCTCGGAAGTTCCCGCCTTCTCTTTCGAAATCGCGAAGCTATTTATTTATTATAAGGAAAGAAACTTTATTGAAAAGAATGCATGATTATTGGGTCTATATGCGGGGTTCTGTCGTTCACAACAAGGAGAAAAAAGCAAGAAAGCAATGATCGTAATAAGTTTCATATCAAATACTTAACCAGTTAACTATGACGACCTCTTTAGCGATATTCTTGTGTACTCGTCGAACATAAAATACTTATAACATGAAATTAGGTTGCGATGAAATGACAAAAATATTTTCTAAAATGCATTATTTATGCAAATAATGGTGAAATTTGATGAGAAAATTCAACAAGCACGCATAGGCGGATCGCAATTAACCGATTAAGTTGTTCTTGTAAATATGCCTAAATGAGTCGAGCCTACTACGAGTTGTAGGTGTGCGTTGAAGATGCAGTAAAATTTTCAAACTTTTAACTTTTTTAGATGGAACTAAGCAAAATCGCAAGTGTCGCAACGATCAAAGTAAATGCAGAAAGCGGAACAGAAGCTAAGAAACTATAAAGCTCCATGCAATTCTTCTCTTATCCAAGCAAAATTTAAATTTAATTAGTTAAGAACACTTATATATATGTCCATCGTCCTTATTATAATTACGAGCTAATTAGACCAAACCAATCGATTGTAGGGCTGAAAGTACGATGATCCCTAGCAACGAAGGCTAACGGTGCTTTTTTCTCAAAAAAGTAGACTAGATGGTTAGTAAACTCGCTTTAATAAAATTAAGTAATCTCGAAGAGTTCTTCGATTAAGTTTGCCATTCACACTGTATATGTTTAATAGTAAGATTTTAAGATTATATCAGCCAACATTCTTCGCCAGATGTTCAGCTCATTCCGCCGCAGGTATCGAGGCAAAGCCTGGCGAATGAATGGAAGGAAGCCTCCGCCATCGTCATATGTTGTCGTCACATATTTTTACAACTTATTGTGGAAAATGTGTGTGTGTGTGTGTGTGTGTAGACGTTTATAGAGAAAGTATTTATGCAGTTTTAGAATGATAAAGACCAGTGAGCGGTAAAGGAGTACGGGTCGAATGCAATCACGGCGTATTAATGTAATTTCGATATTACAAGTAAATTATTACCAAGTAAATTGTGCCACGTGGCGAAGAACGTGGCATAAAATATTTCTTCTTCCGAAATATGAATCCCACATTGTAAATATTTTTGACCGTCATTGGGATGAAGTACAAATACAAGTTTTTTTTTTTTTTTTTTTGAAAAGGCGAGCGAATGAACAGCAAATAACAAGTAGAGCGAAGAGCGACCAAAAAATTAATTGAAGGATTGTATTAACAACTTTAAATAGATTAAAACATTTGCGAGAATTCGGTTGTAAGCTTAGTTTGAAAATCTCATTATTCTTGGATAAAAACTAATGACAATGTCTTTTTCGCTTAATAACCGTTCGGGCAAAATTTGAAAAAAATTGATTTTGCATACTCTGCCGGCAAAATGTTTCGTGTTTTTGAACATAAAAAGACTGGACTTTAGTGGAACCATCTATCGTCGTCAAGCGATAAAATCATTGAAAAAGCATAAATTTAGAAAAATAGAAGTAAAAGAAGTTTAGTTAAAAAAAAAAAAAAAATAACAGGAAAAATGTATTCTTGTAATAGTAATTTATTGAATAATAATTTCTTTTTATTAATTTATATCGTATATTGTTTATTATTTAGTAATTAATTTTCTGCGCGGTGAGTGCATCTAGAGCATACATAATTTCATTTCATTTACCCATAATTATTTGTGTTGTGTTCATTATTATACTCATTAGTTCGTCAGTGTATTTGAAATTTTGACCGTTTTCTTTCTTTTTTTTTTTTTTTTTAGTTTTTATTTTTGTTTTTTTTTCTAAGTAAATCATATATGATTGCATGCATGCGAATCAAATGTGTTTTTGTGAATGAAAGGTTTGTGTATATGTGGTAAATACGCTCGGTTACGCAATTTACATTATTACAACTCTCTTTATTAAAGAAAAAACTTAGGTGCTAAATATTACTTAGGATAACTAACTAAATAAAACACTTGAGAATTTATATCGAAATTTAAACTAAGTATAATATTCGCCATGTACACAAGTGACATACATATTTCTACTTTTATATATATATATATATATATGTATATATATATAAATATTTTTCAGCTTAATATTGAATGAATGTTTATGTATGTAAGTTTGTATGTATGCATATGTACGGATGTATAAGTTGATTTATTTACAATTACTATTCACAAACATCACAAACGGGAGATAAGAAATATAATAAAATATAATATTTTGTTATTCCAATTTATTCATTCATTCATTCATTCATTCATTGTTCACGTTACGGAACGAAAGAAGATGTCCATTTCATATAAATCAATAGAATTATATAAATGAGAACGAGTTTTGAAAAATTTTTCCTGTTATCCTAATTGATGATATATTCCTTTAACATATTTATGACGACAATGCCGCTAACATATCTTACACGTCAACTTAACTGTGAAACGCTAAATCGCGCATTCAGTCGTCAATGTAAGAAGGAAATAACTTCTGAAAGAAATGTGATGAGAAACATTTGTGAATAAACACGACAATACTAAAATCTAACGAATTAAAAACTTATTATAATCATACATCCATATATGCAATCTAAACAAATTAAATTCTAAATTTCACTTTGTTCATCATCCTTTTCTACCCCCTCCCTCCCTCTTTCCGTTTCCCTATGTGATCGTTTCCGCTATTTGACCTCCTTTCACCTCCTTTCTTCTTTGTGTGTAAATTTGTATTTCTTTTCTTTCATATCCATCTTATTTGCCCTATTAAGGGCATTTCTTTTCAATTTCTTTCTTTCTTTTTTCATTATATATTTTCAAAATTTAATTATAATTGTTGGTGTTTTTGAAACAACTACAAATGTGATTTGCTTTTTACTTTTTTTGTTTTCTCTTAATTTTTGTTATCAAGTAATATTTTGTTGATATATTATAACTTTAAACGAGTCTCTAAAACTACTATAATTCATGCCCATAGAAAATGTCGATACGTACATATGCGTAAGAGTTCCCGAAAATACTAAAAAAATGGAAAAAACTAAACAATTTCTTAAGAAAAAAAAAAAAATAAATAAAACAAAAAAAAAAAGAAAAAAAGAAAAAGAAATCCCACTATATGCATATACATAAATGTGTGTGTATTCGTATTTGTGTATGTAAAGTGAGGAGAATTGATTAATTAGTTTGCATAAAATATTAGAGATATTGTTAGAAAACAATAAAAAAAAAAAAGAAAAGGAAAACATAAAAAATAGAAGAAAAGACAGAGAAAACAGAACTTTAACAAAAAAACTCTTTCTGATTTTTGGAGATGATAAATTTCTCCCACATTTCATAATTGATGACATATGAAAAAAATCACTCATCCAGAAGTCCGAATATCATCATCATCAGAATCTTATCATTGAGAGCGAATACTGACTAACGCTGTGTTTGACGACATTGGATATCTATAGATTTTTCGGCTTGCAACAGTTTCCTCATCTAATTACACAAGAAACACATAATTTCGAAGCACTTATGCAGTCGTCATGGCAAAAAGCTCCGCACTGTTGGCATATAACCATGGCATTTAGAGAACAGGCACAGTTATTGGGATCTAAGTTATTGGGGCTGTTATTGCCACCACCGGGCTGTTGATTTGAACGCAATGCTCCACTAGCCATAATGCCCGACATACCCGACGTTGTTGTAGTTACTATATAATTAGCGCTACCATCCCCAAGATTAGAAGTTGCTTCGCCCACTCCCAGTCCTTCAATATAGATGTTACCTATGTAAATAAACAGGTTTCAAGATATTTCTGATATAATTATTAATTCTATAAAAACATATATACATATATATATATATATATATATATTTTAATATAATATATATATAGAATTCATAAAAATCTTGCTATTTAAGATTTACATCTCATCTTATCTAAATCTTTTGTCTTATTATAGCCGCAATATTTTTTCGTCGTTTCCCGATATATTTCTTGTTAAAAAATCGGTTAATTAATTGAAATAATTCCGAAAACGGGTCTTTCGGTTTCTTAAAGTTGTTGCTAGACATGAAATTTAGACTTTTTCCATTGGATCGCCGATATAACATCATATTTTGATACGCCGCTATAAATGAAAATATTTTCGCGACGAAAATCGGGTAATAATTGCATTTGGGCATTCTAAATTGGTCTGAAAAAATTGGATCAGATGGGGAAATTTCATCAACTCCTTGCCCTATAATTATTCCTAAGGAAATCGAGTCTCGATAAGGGAAAAATGCTTCATTTTCAATACCACGTGACGAGAATTCGTTCATATCAATAATTTGACGTAAGGATTAACTTTATCGAATTTGGGTCACGTAGTTCTAATTTTTGGATCCCAATTCATATAAGGACTCGAACGAAAAATGAGGCCGTATATGCCGAAAATGTATATGCAATTTACAATATTCTATGATGAAAATTGGTCTGGGCGAGATTCATAAATTAACCATAAGGAACTCGGATTACATAGGTCTATTTTTTAGACTTTACCGCAAGCTCTTTTATGTCAACAAACTGAGTTTTGTTTTGATGGAAGCAATTGTTGTACTATCTTCGACATATAACTTATGGTTACCATTTGAACTAGGCGAGTTCATTTTTTGAGCATCATCCAGCATGAGGGTTTTCATGAAATGTATATATTTGTATAAAAATAAAGTAAATATTTGCTGTATTGGGAAAGCAGGGTAGGGTATGTAATAATCGACTTGGCAGAAGTATACAATTGCTACGTATTGAATATTTTAAGAACCTTTTCATACGAACGAAATGAGCAATTAAGTAGAAATTCTCTATGCATTCTCTATGTAAGAATGAAATTTAAAAATATTGTTTGTAGCTTTCTCTTTTTTTTTTTTGTGAATTTTCCAACTAGCCTAGTAAGTGTCTAATACTAATTAATAGGTTATCAGTCTTGGAAAATTTATATTATGTTCATTGAAATGGATATCCATAAAATAAATTTTCATTAGGAAACGGTATTCTTTGTTTACCTCTTACCTGCTGGAAGATTTCTTCTCACAATTTGTGTGTTGGGATTGTTGACCTGTAATGAGTTTTGCATATCTTGCAAAGTACTATTGAAAGTGTCTACATCAACCGAAGCAGGACGCCCGCGTCCTGTTATTGATATCCCATTTAAACCATGAATCGGATTCTGTTGAATATGATGCAATGACTTTGACCAAGCGGCGTTTATTAATTGCGTACAAACCTGATTTTGAGGAACTGGGGGAGCACTAGAAGCGCGAGGTGCCTGATTGTCGGCCGCACCTACATTAGCCCTATGCACAAGCACATATTGGCCATTCCCATTATGATGAATATCATGTGCTTGGACATGCGAGACATGCTGCCCGCTCTGGCTGGGTACGGTTGGCTGCTGCAAAATTGTTAACTGTTGATTGCCCACGTTTGTAGCAGCTGCATTTGCCGCCTGTAGCATTGTGGTTCCTTGATTCGCAAACACATGACGTATAAGAGTGGGCGATGATTTGCGTTGTACATATTTTTTACGAGGAAATCCCATTCTAGGCCCAATAACCTGCAATACAACAGAACTCTCATTTGAGGGATGCTCGAGTGATATTTATTGAAAATAAATCAAGAATTTATGAAACAAATTGGTGAACTTAAAGAAATCATTGAAAGAGCGCCGCCTGTGGTGCTCATTTATTTTACTGACCTTAACAGTTTAAATATTGATTTTCGTAACGAATCTAGAGTTTGCGGTTTTTAATTTCGCAAAAAGAAATTCCTCTGCTCAGTGTAACTACTCTATTTCTAGTTTTTCATCCAATACCTTGTCGATAATTCTTCTTATACTTATACCTATCTCCCTCTTATCTGACTAAAATCTTAATACTCTTCTCCTCTCTTCTCATTGGTTCGAGCTGCAAAATTTGAACGAAAACCTGACCAAAAATCAATAAAATTTTCACATATTGTTCAAAAACTACAAAATCCACGATTTATTCGAGTGAGTCACTTGAAAGCGTTGAAAAACTAAATTTAAATACTTTAACGGCTCTCTAGGAAATATTCGTTTGATACGAGGCGCGCTGAAGAAGAGCAAATTTTATGAAAAATATTTTAAAATCTTGAAAAAGGTGTTTTTTACTATTTACCTTGTATACGCCTGGCCTGCCTACCCCCATTACGTTAGTGGGTAAACCTATTGGCAGACTATTTGCTGGTCCTGTTGTCACAGCATTGACAACTACATCGTCTTGTGTTTTCAGCACATTTGCTGCGGTGGTTGCCAGCGCTGCAGAATTGGAAGTTTGCACAGTTTGTTGTTGTTGTTGGTTTAAAAGAGCTGCTGGTGGTCTTAACTGAGCTTTTAGGTTTTCGCGATTCGGACTGTTTTGTATGACAGCTTGACAGATTTGATAGCTTCGCTCGAGATTAACCGCTCCTGGTGGTAACTTTGATGTCGTCTTACGCCCTTTATTCGAAGGCACTTTCACCGATGGTCTCTGCTGTGCAATTGTAGTTGGTACCCCAGAAGGTGGTAACGCCTTTAGCACGTTTGCAGCGGATGAATTATTGAGCACAGCATTAAATGCATTCAGGGCATGAGGTGCGGCGGTAGTAGCTGTGGACGGAATGGCAACTGTTGTGGAAGCTACGCTTGACCGTGCTGGCATTGAGATGATACTTAATTGTTTTGAAATATATTTGGGAGTTGTGGCTAAAGAATTTGTTTGTTGTTGTTGATGCTGTTGGTGTTGCGTTTGCGTAGTCAATGTTTGAAATGTATTTAATTGCTGTTGTTGCTGTTGCAGCTGATGTAATTGTTGCTGCAATTGCAGCTGTTGCTGTTGATGATTGGTTAACAAATTTTGAGGCCCGGGTGGACTGCTATTGCTTTGCGGTGCTGGATTTGGTAAAAAATTTCTCTGTTGTGTTTGGTGCTGCTGTGGCATCGAGTATTGCTGCAATTGCTGATGTGTCGCCTCTATGGACGCCTGGGGTGGCACCGGTGTCGACGGTTGGACACTGCCAGATCCCGTGAGAAAATGTGGCTGACCGTTAGTATTCAATTCAAATGATTTTCGTACCACAGGTAGCATTTTGTTGGCCATCTGATGTTGATGTTGTTGCTGCTGTTGTTGTTGCTGCTGCTGCCGAGCTGCTAACGTCGATACTGCATGTTGCTGTTGAGCAGCCTGAAATGTAAATTGTTGAGCTGCTTGCTGCAGTAACTGTTGTTGTTGTTGGTGCTGCTGCTGCAAGTGTTGCTGCGATTGCTGGTGTTGTTGTTGCTGTTGCTGCTGAAGCAAGAAGTTGCCGATTATTTGACCATTTGAATCAACGAGTATTTGTCTTTGTTGCGGTGGATTCTGAATTGTTTGGGTAGGCAGGCGACTCAAATTTGGCGGGGCTTGATTAAGGCTACCGCTTGCATTTAGACTTACTGAGCTGCTATTACTGCTGCATAAACTAATATCATTAGTGCTATCGTTAGAATTGCTGCTGGTAAGGACCGTGCTGGACACTTCCATTTCAGCAGCGGACATTGGAACCTCACACATAACTTCAGTTGACAACTATAAAGAAAATATTTTATGCCATAGTTCCATTATAAAAAACGTAATTTACACAAACCTCTCCAATATAATCGTTCAGTTGCGGCGGCTGCGAATGTGGCTCGGAGGGTTCTTGTTGATGCTGGTGTTGCAGATATTGAGCATCTAAGGGTCGTTGCGCTGTCATTTGTAAGGGTGCACCGTTAGCTTGTTGTTGATGTTGCTGTTGTTGTAATTGCATTAACTGTTGATGTTGTTGTTGCAATTCACCCACAATCACTTTAACCGCACTGTTGTCACTCATACATCCATCATCGTCGTCTAGTATATTGTCATCATCTATGAACTCTTCCATAATATTTTGTGCGCTGCTTTCACCACTTGCCTCCTGATCACTACTGTTAATCTCAACCGTAGCAGAGACACCCGGCGGTTGATTTCCTCCTACTTCGCCCACATCCATGCCATCTATTTTAATTATAACTCCTTGTTGTGATTGCAATAAATTATTGAAATTACTTGACGTAGGATGATCTTCTTCCTCAATTTTGATATTTCCGAAATTCCAATCGTGTTGTAAGTGATGAAATATTTTATTGTGGCTATTTTCCGTCGCATTATGCGATTGTATCGCTTGAGCTGACTTAACTGAATTCTGAGCACCGGCAAACGAAACAACCGACGATATCATAGCTTTCATCTCGGCTAAGCTAACCGACGACGATGACCCGGATGCCGACGACGAAATAGCTGAAGTTAGTGATGATGAAGGCGAATTGGATGCTGCAGCAGATGATAGCATGCTCGTCGTATTCAAGAGCATATTCTCTTGAATTATATCGGAACAATTTCCTTGAGTGCTAATAACTGTTCATATACAATTACAACGATAATAACAACAATAAAATATAAAGCCATATCCTCATGTAATACTTAAGTTTCTATAACGACATGCCTATTATGATATTTAAAAATGATGGCAAACTGATGGCTTACTGTGGATTTTTAAGCAATTTACGTTTTTTTTTTATTTTATTTTTTTAAAATAAAAATAAGCAACAAAAAACTCTGCAACAACATGAGATGGGGGAAACATGGGAATACGTTAGTAGCAAGTGAATGAATTTGTTAAGGTACATAGGAGGCATGCACTGGCTGTTGACAAGAAAGGATTAATGTGATAATGTAAATTTTCAAGAATATATGTTTATTAAATTTTCGTAAAAGTACATTCAAAATTATAAAGGCAACAAAATTAAGATGTTATTCATGTTCTACATTAAATCGTTTAATGACTGTATAATGCATTAAATGTCCTAAAGAAATGTGATAAGATATATACATTTTTTGTGGATAATTCATTAATTTCGGCTTTTCTAAGTGCATCGATTTAGTATGGTTAATTGATCTTACCATGGTCAAGAGGTATATTGTATTCAAAATCTGCCTCGTTCGAAGAACACTTTTGAGGCGTGGTCATTACATTTGTATTTGTGTTAATATTAGATTTTGCAAGTTTAGAATCTTTAAAGCATGAAAAAGGAATAAAAAGGCCCATTACCGTCAATTTTTCTAATAACATATTTACATAAATAAAAGTTGTAGATCGACGTACCTGCGCTGTTGTCAGTGCTAACTTCACCCGATTCTAAAACATAATTTTCAGCGTCTGCAAATTTCTGTTCAATTAGATCATCATCGTCGTCATCATCTAAGGTATTATTTGTACAATTATCCAGTTGTATTGCGGAATCTAAGGGTACTTCTTCAATTTGGGACGCCGACTGATCCGTAGACGCAACCATAACGTCGCATTCCATGGCATCGTTTTCTCTATGTGGTGTACTATCACAGGTACTGTTTCTATTTGACAACAAAGGCATAACTAACATAGAAGGGTTTCCGTCAGTCATACTAATCGAGGCACAGGTAACATTTCCCTCGTGTATGGCCCTTGATAGTTGCTGTCTGTTAGTGGTAATATTTTCAGGCGGGTTAAGGTACTGAGACGTATTTGACACTGATGTCGCTGTTACTTTTACTAATGCATCAATGACATCTTCGCTGGGTTCCTTTTTTGTTGAAGTTAGGATTTGACTTACAACCTTTGTTGTTGAGTATAACTCATTAGTGTATATGCCACCACTACCCGTCGATGACAATTCTCTAGGAACATTGCCCAAATGTTTAATTTCCATTTTTAATTGCTTTTCTTCGGTAGCCTCATCGGATTTTTTGCAGCTTTCCTTTGACGAGGGACTTGCAGAAGAACGCTTAGTTCCACGTCTTGAAGCATCTATAATTGAGGAAGTCGAAGAGTTGTCATTATTTCTTACGGCTTTGCCCAAAATACTCTACAAAAAAATTACATATCGTTCAGTACTGTAAATAAGGAAAAATGCAGTAGAAAAGTACCATTTCCTGAGTACATTCAGTCTTTATCTTTATATCATCTTCCTCCTTAATGTTAATTATCGAGACAATATCCGGGTGCTTAGCATTCAAATTTGCAGGTATCTGTTCTAGTTTTTTGTCGCTGGTAAAGCTTTCTTTGTTAACAGTCGCGATTGAGAGTTTTTCCGACTCATTTTTAAAGGGGAGGGTTTGAGTATCTCGCATATTAGTGAAATTGAAAGTTGTGCTAGAGGTTGAGGGATCTAAGGAAGAACTTGCGACTTTATGTATGCTGGAACTCGAGGCACTGGTGATTGATGTCGAAGTTATCGTCTGCGTTACAGCGGTACTTTCTGCTCTTCTCTTAGAACTATGTAAATTGGCCTCACTGCTACGGCTGCTGCTTGCCCGGTTTGCGGCTTTCTCACCCCATATTGGTTCAAAATGTTTTAGCTTCCAAGGGTCTAGTTTGTTTTTTTCACGCTCCGCTTCTGTTTTAAGTTTCATTTGATTTTCGGGAGTGAATTCTCCTTCAGCAAGACGTTCGCGCCATTCAAGACAAGCACGTGCAAAGAATTCATTATTAAGACTGGATGGACCCAGTCGTATAGCTTCCGTAGGTACAGTGTTAGGCGGGTATTTGTGCTCCATTTCGATGGCCTCGCGATCCACGCTGGGCAGTAGCTGTATTAAATTATACTGGTATAGAGGTGGGAGCATAGAAAACGTTTGCTTATTAAGTAAAGCCCGAAGGTTAGTTGATGCTAAAATTGAATCAGGAGTTTCCAAGTCAATTTTACCATCTTTTGTCTGCTCAATTTGAGCGGCAGTTGATATTTTTTTACTCGATCTTCTGCGCGGTTTTATGCTGAATCCCGGTATTGAGGCCAAAACTTCACGCATCGTTGATGCTTGCGTTATCGCTGTAGGGAGTTGTGCTGCTGAAGACATGGTACTTGTTGTCGTGTTTGTCACAACTGCCGAAGCAGCAGCTATTGCTGCCTTAGCCTGTTGTTGTTGTATACGTCGACTACTGCTGCCTCTACTGGATGGACTGCAGTTATTGGCAGAGCTGCTCGCTTGGCCCACGGTAGTGCTTGCAGTCTCACTTATACTGCTTGCTGCTATCGTCATGGTCGTGGACTTTTTATCCGGCAGTATGGGTTTAACTATTATCCGTGGAACATGACGTCTACAAATAATAAATCAAATAGAGTTTGCTTAAATGGCAATAATTGCTATTTTTTTGTAATTATTAAAATGTATACCTTAAACTGTGTGAATGTTTTGAACTCGTAGGAGCACTGCTTTGCGAATCCTCCGTAGAACTCCGCCCTCCCGAGGAAGTATCCAATGCCAAAGGATCTTTTTCGTCATCATCATCTAACAGGTTGATATGGGTTGTCGTGGTCCCTTCCATATTTGAATTCATCTCAGTATGATTGAAGTTACCACTAACTACAAAACTCTGTTCTTTGGGAGGATCCCCATATACATTTGAATTAAACTTGGTATTTAAAAGGTATTTTGTTAATAATACAGCTGCATCCGTGCTTGCTGTTTTCATATTTCGCCCGCAACAAAGTGATGGTGGTATTTACTCTTTCTGTCCCAATTCAAGTGATATTATTACTGAAAGAAAACTGCAATTCATAATGAAAATCGAATTTTCAACGCGACTTCAGATTGAGCATGCAATTATTATGAAAGTATTTTCATTGCTTTGAGAATAATGTACTGGCATCATTACAGCAATACAAGCCTTTTAAACTAAAGAGTGAATACCACTAATATGTTATTGATCTATTGATCTATTGAATGCAGGGGCCACATTTTTATGCTAATTACGGAAGCACACACAAATTGCGGATACGGATTTATACTTTCGGATAAATAGCACAATGGTTATTATTCAAAAGGAATTCATTAAAGGGGAAATTGTATAAGGTTCATTTCCATAATTTTTGATAATAGATATACTCGTAGAAACTTTTTTACACACATACCTTATAATCAAAATCATTGTCGTATCTCAAAGACCACTAATATAGTTTAATGCTTGTTTAATATAAGATGCGGGCGTAGGGTGAGCAACTGCCTGTTTGAGAGCATTTCACCCTTTTTATTATTGCCCAATTGGTTTTTTGCGAAAGAAATTTATTCAATATTAGATTTTGGCATAAATTATCTTTACATATATAAATTTTTCATGAACTCTATAAATTTCCGAATTACCATTTTCGGTTTTCTCTTCTTTTTTCTTTTTGCTGGTAATAGTTTTTCTTTCTCTGCAACCTGAAATTCTACTACTTTTCTCGCAATAAGAAAAAATTCCTTAAACCGTTGCCAGATTAATTGAATAAAAAAATCATGAAATCAATAATTGTTGAAAGTTTTGGAAGAAACAATTTTCTCATAAGCAAGAACACTTATATAATTTAATTCGTTGTTTTTATGCTAACTTTTTGTTATTTTAGTAAATATAACTTTACTTTGCGTGGCTTTTTATACCTACGACAATTTTCTCTTATAATATTTTGGCAACTCTTGTTTTAGTCTTTTAGTTCTCCCGCTTTTATCTCTTATTGTTCCTTTCACTAATTTGACAACAAAATTTTCGAAACTTCTAATACTTGTCTTTTTCAAATCGCGTTGCGTTCTTTCAATAGTAGATTTTTTTAAATTTGATACTTTTTATTAGCGCATTTCAGCCATATGAGAAAATTTCGTTGTTTACTTCTGACAACAACAATAAAACACAGCTGTGAGTCTGGCAGCCTTACTCATCCAGCAAGTTTACTTTACTTTACAAGCTTGTTTTTGCGTTTGCATTGCTGCTCCTTACCAAATTACATCTGCACTTGTTTTCATTATAAAATCTCTAAATTTTACAATATTTTTGTAAAACTATTTGACGAAGTCGACATAAACTACAATTTTCTGCTTGTCTGCAGATTATGTTTTCATATAATCTCGATAATTTACAATGTACAATGCGTACAACTATTTGGGTTTTGTTTTTTTTTTTTTTTTTATTAACTAGCAAACATTTATTAAGTTCTCCTTGCGAATGATGGTATAATTAGAAGTTCACTGATATTTTCATTTCCTTTTAGTTACTTTTAAACATTCTAATTGTTAACAATATTATTCCTACTAATTGGGAAAATTGGATATTTTAGAAACTGCTCAACATACTAAATAAAAGGGAGTTGCCAAATTTTGAGAAAGCTTTCGTTTATAGGATTTACGAAAGAATTGTAACATGGGATAGAAAAGATAAATCCAATTAGAGATGCGAAGTTAACTTTATGAATTTATCTAATTTATATTATTTTTGAATTTATATTTTTATTTGTATAAAAATACAAATTGATCATATTCAAGAGAATTATCTTAAATAAGAACAGATGATATGTACAGAGTCACAGGCTTTTTTTTCTTCATTTTCATTCATTTCATTCATTTTTATAAACATCTTAAAAATATTGAATTTAAGCCGTTGCAGATTTGTTATTATTGATAAAACAGTAACACACAGTATTTACTTTAAAATATCAAAAAATTAAAAAAACAAAAACCAAAGTAAAGACTTTATAGCGGAGTACAACTAGGCCTTAAATACTTTGCACCAGGTCGCATAATTAAATCATTCATTTACTTTCATTATATAATGCCAAAAATTTCACTTGACTTTCATGTACAGGCGTACTTGCACTTATGTGACAGGAGGATAATAATTTGAGCTGAGCTTGCCCAAATTATAGCTAAATGATTTTCATCTGATAGATATTATTCTATTGTGACATAGAGCATTAAAAATTGGATAGGAAATTTTTCCTATCTATGGGCATCCTGCAATAAATTCTCTTTTATCTTTAATTATTGCTCTAATTCAACTTTCGTCACAATATATTAAAAATTAGATTTTTTTGGCTTTTGAAGACGCATTTTTCGTAGGAACGGTTATATAAGACAGGGTTAGCCACCCAACCCAAATTTTTCTCATCCACTCACTATTCTGAAGTATTCTTTCTTAAATTAAAGCTTTATAAACGGAAAAAGAAGTGGGAATTGGTCGTAAAAATCGTCCGAGCAAATTCATTTTAAATAGAATTTGTCTTTGGGCCAAATCACGTCAACGTAAGATGTTTCGTCAAAATATCCCGAAAACTTGCGACTTTTAGTCTGAATACAAAAATACAAAGACAGTAATCCGATGGACAGAGAAATTTGAATCGGTGCCGGAAATGGTTCTGAACCGATCGCCGTAATAAGCGGTATGTCCATCTTCGGTTGTTTCTTTGTGTTGCATACAGCAGCGCAAACATGCCTACAGCACTATACTGTAATCAAAAGAAAAAACTACATCTAATGCGGCCATAATTTCAAGCAAAAACACAGTTTAGCAAGCACTGCTTTTTAACTTTGTCTCATTTCCCTTCGGCAAACATACATTAGCAAGTGCAACAACTTTCAATTTTGTTCTATCGTTATTGTTGCCATTGCGATTGTTTCAACATCCCAACCTTCAGTTCCGCTTCGTCATCGGTAGTAAACTTTTACCATACCAATGGTTTTTTAACAAAGTTATCGGCATCAATTATGTTCCACGTATCATTTCCAAGAATATTTTCCTTCTTCTTCTTGTTCTTTACTTCTTTCGCTTACTTGATGAAAACCCGTGATATTTTTGAGACTTGCCTGACACTTACAAAAAAAAAACAGCTAACAGTCTTTTTGCGGCACGACAAGGAAATTTTTCTGAGTGACGAAAGAAGCGAGAAAATGAATAATTTCATGCAAACTTGCCGAAAATTATCAAAAATTTCTAATATCTAAAAGAGCTTAATCAATCAATCAATATTTCCACTCACTTTACTTGCTTAAAAAAAAAAAAAAAATTGGAAAAAAGAAATGATTTGGAAAAAAACTCGAAAAATGTGTCAAGTCCCAAAAATGTATGTTCAATTCCAATGCTAGAAATTTGTTTTTATTTATGGAACGTGGTGAACAGTCATCGAGAATAGTCAAAATAGTTACAAGCTTGACGCTCCAAATGGAGCGCAATAGAGCGGGAACAAAGAATCTTCGAATATTGTTAATTTCCTATTAATGACATCTTGCGAAACATGGCAGGTTGCGAAAAAAGTGTTACAACTGATTATGGTTTATTATATATACATATTTTTTTACAACAGGGCAATAAGACCTGTGATAGGCACTGTAGTATAAAAAAAAAAATAAAAAAAAAGTGAGTAGTTATTTGTCAGAGGAAAAAAAAGAAAATTTGAGTTTTCCTGGTGGATGTCGAGATTAATGGACAAAGTAGTACCAGCTCATCTAAAAAACGAAATATTTGTGTATTTAGATGATCTTCTTGTATTATCTGACACTTTTCAGCGCCATATAGAAGTTCTGTATTTATTAGCGAAATTGCTTAGGAATGCCGGTTTAACTTTAAATGTAGAGGAGAGTAAGTTCTCTGTGCAAGGAGTTAAATATTTAGGACATATTATTGTTAAAGGTGTTGTTTGCACTGATCCAGATAAAATTTCTGCAATTACAAATTATCCTGTTCTTAAAACTGGAAAAGGAATATTATTATTATTATTATTATAATTTTAGACTAATGAAATAAATTCTTAGACTAAAAAAAAGACATCGAGCACTAGCAGCACAGGCTACCGGCTCTAATATAAAAAGGAATACGTAGAGCCCTTGGCATGAGTGGTTGATACAGAGAATTTATCGAAAACTATGTAACTATTTGCGCTCCATTAACTGATATGACTAAGAACAAAAAAAGATTCGCGTGGAACGATCCGGCTCAAAAGCCGTTTCAAGATTTAAGATATCTATTGAATTCTGCACCTGCCTTGCATAGTCCAGATTTTGCCAAGCTGTTTTTAATTCATTGTGACGCAAGCCACACAGGTATTGGAAGCTTACTATTTCAACTAAAAGCTGAAGGTGATGAAGTTTCTATTGCATTCATGTGCAGAAATTTAAATAAAGCTCAAAGAATTTACTCAGTTATGGAATAGGAGTGTTTTGCTGCCATTCTTAGTGTTAAAAAATTTAGGGCTTATGTCAAAGGCCAGGAATTTGCTACAGCTACCGATCACGCATCTTTAAAGTGGCTTATGTCTCAAACGGATTTAAACTCCCGATTAGCGAGATGGACCTTAAAACTACAGGCTTTTAAACTTAAAATTTGTCATCAAAAATGCAGTCAGCACATCGTTCCCGACGAAGTCTCACTTATTAATTCAGACTAAGAGAATTCAGCAAACTTACTAGATAATATTTCACAAAATGGTTATGTAAATAGCTTGACAGCTGATGATACTGGTCTGTTTGTGGATCTTAATTCACCTCATTTTAAATCAGAGGATTATCGAGATCTAGTTCAGGGCATTGAAGGAAGAGCAAATAACCTGCTGGATGTAAAAATATTAGATGGATTTGTGTGCGAACTCAACATGAAGTAGGTGAGCAATTACATGACAATTTATGTTGGAAACTATGCATTCCAAATGCGATGCTTGATGAAGTTATTTACAAGGCTCACAATGATCGCCTGTCTTCGCACTTAGCAATAATCAAAACGGTAGAACGAATTCGTCGACTTTAGTATTGGCATAGCTTGGTTAATGACGTAAAAAACCATATAAATGGGTGCGATATTTGTAAAATGACAAAACATGATTCTAATCATGTTTTACGATCACCCATGGGCAAAACTACTATGACTCTAAGGATCTTTCAAAAACTATACATCGATTTCCTACGTCCATATTCCCGTAGTAGGACAGGAAACATTGGGATATTTGTAGTTATAGACCACTTACCAAAATTTCCTTTTCTAAAGGCTATTAAGAAATTAACCACTGATGCCAATATGCAAATTTCTAGAAGAAGAAATTTTTCACGTTTTTGGAATAGCCGAAATTATCGGATCAGATAATGGCGTACAATTTAAGTCTAATCAATTTAAAGAATTGATTCTTAAATACAATATTACTCACACTTTTTCAGCTGTTCATTTACCTCAGGCTAACGCATCGGAACGTGTTAATCGAACTGTTATTGCTGCAATTAGAGCTTATGTCAACGCAAATCAAAAAAATTGGGATGAAGGGCTTAGTCAAGTTGCTTGTGCAAGATTGCGATCAAGCGCTCACTCAATGAGAAAAATTACAATTTGAGAGCTAAGATGGTAACTTACAGAGAAAGACATGAGGTATTTAAAAGGAATTTTAGTCATTCTAAAAAAATAAAAGAAAAAGTGAATGTGGTTATTTGTCAGAGGAAAAAAAAGAAAATTTGAGTTTTCCTGTGGGATAGAGAAAGAAAATTTGGTCAGTCGAAGGATTGAGTTTTTCGAACGAACAGCTATGTGGTCACTTGAAGTGATTATAAACCCAGTTTTGATTTGTCAGTTTTTGGAGATTTTGAAATTTGGTGTTTCCTTACATTTTTAAAGAGAACTATCATTTCATTTGATATTTTTTTTCGAAAGGAAAAAAAAAGGAAAATTAACAGAAACTTCTTGCTAAAAAAAGACTACAAAAAGTGAAAATTTATATAGCTTATTGTGAATAAATCTATATTACGAATATCGACCCAAATTATAATTCAAAAGCAGAAAATACAAAAAAAATTCCAATTACTCAGACGTGAGTAACTGAAATAATTGCGTGGCTCTAAGGATCAATTTTTTCCCAATCATCCCTAAGGCGTTGAAAATATCCATCTTCCAAGCGCCTACGTGTCTCATCGAATCAATAAACGACGATTTTTTTTTCTTATTATTAATCAAAAATTTTATAATTTATAATTCGATAAAAAAAATCATTTAGCTGCGGCGATGCGCATCAACGTGGTTGTTTAACTTGGTAAGCTTCTTTTATTTTGTTAAATTAAAGTAATCTGAATTTTCCGTTATTTGCGAATAATCTTTTCTATTATAAACCTGAGTATCCTTTGTGAAGTCATGTTAATTAAATATAATTTTAATATTCTATTAATTGTAAATGATATACTTCTTCTAAAAAAAAAAAATAAAGAGAAAATATAAATGTCGTTGAATTGTGATACTTTTTTTTAGATTTTAAA